ATGGGACTACCCAAACACTAAGGAATCTAGGAAGATGCCATGCATGGGACTCCCCCAACACTGAAGGTAGATATCTTGGAAGATGCCATGCATGGGACTGCCCCAACAGTGAGGGACTACCCCAACACTGTGGGACTACCCCAACACTGAGGTATCTTGGAAGATGCCATGCATGGGACTACCCCAACACTGAGGTATCTTGGTGTTACCCCAACACTGAGGTATCTGAGGTACCTAGGAAGATGCCATGCATGGGACTACCCCAACACTGAGGTGTCTTGAAAGATGCCATGCATGGGACTACCCAAACACTGTGGGACTACCCCAACACTGAGGTATCTTGGAAGATGCCATGCATGGGACTACCCCAACACTAAGGAATCTAGGAAGATGCCATGCATGGGACTACCCAAACACTAAGGAATCTAGGAAGATGCCATGCATGGGACTACCCAAACACTAAGGAATCTAGGAAGATGCCATGCATGGGACTCCCCCAACACTGAGGTAGATATCTTGGAAGATGCCATGCATGGGACTACCCCAACACTGAGGTATCTTGTAAGATGCCATGCATGGGACTACCCCAACACTGAGGAATCTAGGAAGATGCCGTGCATGGGACTACCTCAACACTGAGGTATCTTGTAAGATGCCATGTAGGGACTACCCCAACACTGAGGGATTACCCTAACACTGATGTATCTTGGAAGGTACCATGCATGGGACTACCTCAACACTGAGTTATCTTGGAAGATGCCATGCATGGGACTACACGAACACTGAGGTATGTTGGAAGATGCCATGCATTGGACAGCCCAAACACTGAGGTGTCTTGGAAGGTGCCATGCATGGGACTACCCAAACACAGAGGTACAGTGATCCCTCGCTATTGCGCTCTTCGATAAAGCGCTACCTCGGTTACTACGCGCGGTAACGCATGGCTCCCAAAATTTATGTACACTTTTATTACTGAGAGTTTTACACAGACATAATTGTATTGTTGTTCGTTGTTCATTTGCACATAACGCTTCTCATTGCATAATCAACCGTTTATCGCTGAATGGAGTTCTAATAATCTGTTTGAAAACATCCGCGGCAAGTCCCGGAAATACGATTGTTCAACTAGTTAACTTTTCACACTATACATCCTTTGATCTTAGAAGCGCATGCATGCAATAAAAGAGAACCACAAGCGAAGTTTATATTCTTAATTAGTGGGCAATCCAATTTAAGGCTAAACTGTCACACACATGTAGTTGCTGTCACAACACGGCGGTCATTCATTTCGTAATCGCGCTTTCGTAACATTGCCTGTTTTTTTTCCGTAGTTATAACAAGCGATTTCATTGGATTAAAATTTGTTTCTAATGACGCTTTCTTGCCGAAATCTGCTACAAGTTTCGTGATTGGTCAATTTTGAGCACGTGACCTCAGGCAGCCAATCAAATTATAGCTGTGATACCAAGCTAGTGTTTGATAAATTTCAGAAGTTAGCGTGTTATTCTGAACGTTTTAAGCAGGAAATCACGATATATATTAAAAATATGGAACTTCGCGACTGTATCGTGCTAGGTTACGAGCTGTGACAAAGATTTTTCATACATATATTTTTGCATTAAACGTTGTGTCCGAGCCGAGAATTCAAGGCGACGAAAGCCGAGATGTCATTTGACTTACATTACACGCGATCGCACGAAACGATGGAAATAATAACTTAGATGTAAGTTTGATTACTTTTAGATATATTTTTGTTGATTTTATTTACCACTTTGTATAATATATTTAAAGATTTGCTTAAAATAGTCTTTATTTTGCTCTTTGACATGTTCGATGCGGACCCATTGTCGAAATGTGTGTCCGAGAATTTTATTTTCAATAACATCGCGGGAAATAGTGAATAATTTTTTAATTTATTGATAAAAAATGATAACTTAGAATGGAATACGTATTTCAGACATTGTGAAATGTGACAGATTTAATAAATGAATGATATTACAGGTAGATCTAGGTCCATAAAAATATATACTATTTTGACGTGACGTGAGATAAACACATATTGATGATTTGAGATTTGCCGAGCGCGCTCCCCCGCCTCGGCCTCGGTTAAACGTTTCATCGTCTATAACGCCCACCAATTATTTGGACCCCATTGGTAGCGTTGTAGCGAGGGACCACTGTATCTTGAAAGATGCCATGCATGGGACTACCCCAACCCTGAGGGACTACCAAAACACAGAGGTATCTTGAAAGATGCCATGCATAGGACTACCCCAACAGTGAGGGACTACCCCAACCCTGAGGTGTCTTGTAAGATGCCATGCATGGGACTACCCAAACACTGAGGTAGGTATCTTGGAAGATGCCATGCATGGGACTACCCCAACACTGAGGTATCTTGGAAGATGCCATGCATAGGACTACCCCAACACTGAGGTATCTAGGAAGATGCCATGCATGGGACTACCCCAACACTGAGATATCTTGGAAGATGTCATGCATTGGACCACCCCTAAGACTGAGGTATCTTGGAAGATGCCATGCATGGGACTACCCCAACACTGAGGTATCTAGGAAGATGCCATGCATGGGACTACCCCAACACTGAGGTATCTTGGAAGATGCCATACGTGGGACTACCCCAACACTGAGGTATCTTGGAAGATGAGATGGTCTATTAAAGAGCCTTCTCCTGGATAATCATCTATGAAGGCAGAGTGGGACAAAGTGTCTCTCAATATATTTGGTTCTGGCAACAGACAATTAGGTGATAAGAGGGTGATGCCCAGGGATTCCTCTGAGCCCCTTCCTCTTTAACATGGAGGTGTTTTCTCAGTCAATATCAAAATCAATGACAATGCTGTTTGTTTGTTTGCTGGCATGACTCATGAAATTTCGGATGTCAAAGAATCTGTCGCTCAATGCGAAGATTCCAGCATTAGAACGTGTGATAGAAATTTGGCCTGATCATATTCAATGGCAAGTGACACATTGGCCATTACACCTAGGCACAACTCAGCCCCTCTCATGACAGGAGATATATGCTCTACAGTAATGTGTCCCAAGAGGATTCTTGTACGCCATGGACGATGGATAGAAATCAACACTATACTTGATAAGATTGACAACTCAACGCAATATGAGGAATACCCTTTGAAGCATGTGCCTTCAACTACAGTTCACACTTACAGCCAATTGCATGAGGAGAGCTTGGATGACTGGCAATTGGTGATTACTCCCATGTAACCCGCAATCTCAGTCAGATTACAAACAGGTCACCCCTACGTGATCATTCAAGAACTTTACCGGACTTAGTTCCATCATGGCAGGAAGTACCCACTAACTCATTCAGCAGGGTATGATGAAGTGGAGAAATTCCCCACATCGTATACCATAAATACAGACCCAGTCTATATCAATATGGTTCATGAATCTTTACAAGGCTCCATGTGTCCAGGGCTAGGATTCCATTTCCTACGTATAACAGGCTCGTCTATAAGACACTCAAGTCTCCATTCCCTCCATTCTCTACTTTGAATGAGGAATATTGCCAGCTTGTCAAGAAACCTAATTCCAGTATGCTGCTTGACATGGTCAAGTTCAAGGACTTAAACATGATGACCAAACAGGCAATGGACATTGGATCATATATAAATTCATTTGTGGCAGAAATTCGTCATGTGTTGCCTCCCGTCGATGATTATGCTGGTTACCTTGTTGACACTAAGATTGATATGAAGTTGGATCAGGTGGGATTCATCCACAGTGCCTTGTATCACATCAGAAGATGCAGGATGATAGTCTGTCTTTCCAGATCCTTCTTACCCAACGCCAGAAAATTGGAAGTCAATCATGGATGACAGGTGGCTTCTGGAACTTGTAAGAAAAGGGTACAAGCTTAATTTCCAACAAGACACCGCCCTTGTAGTCCAGCCCGTAGGGCAACAATTCCATCTGGTAGGAGACAAGCTAGTAGCGGTGAACAAGGCCAACAGGGAACAGACAAGGGAGCCATCAGCGCAATAAAAGAATCCAAAGCCTTCCCAGTCTTCCTGGGACCGAAGAAAAATACATTAGACATGCCAATGATAATCAACCTAAAAGTGCTCAACAAGGACTATCTAGTACATCCTCCCACATTCCAAATGGAATCAGTCAAGAAGCTAAGGAAGACTTTCAGACTAAGAGATTGGCTGATCAGTCTTGACTTGCAGGACCCGTATCTACATGTTCCCATTCACCCGAGATTGTCAACCTGATCTGCGCTTCGCAGTCAACAGGTTGTGGTTTGAGTTCAACGTTCTACCATTCAGCATTTCAGTCACTCCATAGTTACTTATCTGTTTTACCATCCTGTCACAAACGACCTTACAACTGGAAGTGACATCAGAAGTATGTCAAATATTGCACACAATTGAAGTCATAGAAGGGAAAGTGACGTCTAAAAATGCCCAAATTTGGAATAAGAGATAGAAATCTGGGAATAAGCCATTATGCATCCATTTGTCCTATATTCCTACTTCACTGCTGCCAACTTACTGAGATTACTCTATGCCAGACCCCACCAGTGCCTCTGGTGTATTCTGGCTATGATGTAATGGAGGTAGGGTATTCAAAGGAATTGTCAAACAATAGTCATCATTGTGTCTAATTCTAAGAATACTACCTTGATTACATCAGGAATTAGTAGCCTTCCACCTCCCCAATATTTCTTGCATCTACTCGATGAAAAGTATTGGAAAGATGTGACGTTTTCCAGCCTTGGTGACTGCATTAAACCTGAGGACTGGGTTTACCTCATAACTAATTTAAAAATTTAAAAATGCAGTGTGATGTAGTCAAATCTGGAATTGATGGCTATGTTGTAATAGAAGTAGTATTCTTAGAGCTGTACACATTGATAACTTTTGTTTGATTTTGTGCTACCTGCTGTGTTGGAATTAAGCCAATATGTAATGATTATATTCCAGATGTTTAAAAGTCTGTTTTTTTGTATGCAGGTTGTTACCAGCGAATCCCTCTGTTCATCTGCCTGTGTGGGATGGATGAAGGGGAACAGCGCACTATGGCCAGAAACCTGTACCTCGCCAAACTCCTCATTGAGCGGGGAGCCAATGTCAACTACCGAGTGCCTGTTGTCAGTATAGTATAATATACCACCACAGTGTTAAAAAATACATAGGAAAGTCAAGGGTCCTTATCATAACATTAATGTCAACCAGGAGCAGTTTCTGTCTGCAGTTGCAACACAATGAAGATTAACTACACTGACAAGCTTTGTAAATACATCGTACCTACATGATAGTCCAATCGGTCAATCACTGTAATAGGCAATAAACTGAGTTGACACTGATTAATCGAGGATTAATTACTGAGAACATCTTGTTGATTTGAGTGAAAGGTGTTTACAACTGTACATTAATACCTTGCATCATCGATGTACCTCATTATCCTCACAATGCTATGATACGTAACCTCAGACAAGAAGCGAAAGCGTGACGACAGCCAGTCGACCGGATCTGCAAAACCCTCAAAGTCTGGACGATCATTTTGTAAGTCGTGGCTAACGACTTTCACTTGGTTGACATACAATGAGGATTTGCAGATTTTATTGTTTTCAGTAGCTAGTCGTATATTGAATCTTGATTGACCGCCATTTTGCTTTCTCGGACGATCGATATCCAATTTTTTATGGTCAATAATTAAGTACAGATGAAAAAAGTATTCAAATAACTATTGCTATCAACGATATTTTAGTATTTGTGATTAAACTATCTGTATTGTTTTTAAAAAAATCTTTAGTTTAAAAAAAAACTTTTCCCGTGAGGTCACATGATAGCCAAATATGGGATAATAGTCTCAATCCAAATGTTACAACGCGTACACTTGAGCAGACTCATGAATATAACTCATGAATATTAATTAGACCGTTCACTACGTTAACAGATCGTTATTATAACAGAAACAAACGTATGTTTTCCATGTAAATCTAAAATGATATTATTTGTTATTAATTGTCCGGTGAATTAAACAATTTAAATTGAAACATAATTCATCATATTATGAATACGTAAACTTGTAATGTGTGTGAAAAGTCGTACTAAAATACGCTATTTGAAGGGGGCGTGGCCTAAATGCAAATGTCCGATTGGGATTTTAAATTTTCCGGACCCCTGATGTCAACAGATCAAAATGTTGGGGTAACTAGTTTCAAATACTAGTAAGTTACTAGCAACATGATTACTGACCATTTGGCATTCTGGGGTGGCCTCAGAGTTTGTTTGAAACAGACAGACACACAGTGACAGGCACACACTGACAGACAGGCAGTCACACAGTGACAGGCAGGCAGACGCACAGTGACAGGCAGGCAGACACACAGTGACAGGCAGGCAGACGCACAGTGACAGGCACACACTGACAGGCAGGCAGTCACACAGTGACAGGCAGGCAGACACACAGTGACAGGCAGGCAGACGCACAGTGACAGGCACACACTGACAGGCAGGCAGTCACACAGTGACAGGCAGGCAGACACACAGTGACAGGCAGGCAGACACATAGTGACAGGCAGGCAGACACACACTGACAGGCAGGCAGACACACAGTTACAGTCAGGCAGACACACACTGACAGGCAGGCAGACACATAGTGACAGGCAGGCAGTCACATAGTGACAGGCAGGCAGACACAGTGACAGGCAGGCAGACACACACTGACAGGCAGGCAAACACACAGTTACAGGCAGACAGACACACAGTGTCACCAGGCAGACATACACTTGACAGGCAGGCAGACACATAGTGACAGGCAGGCAGACACACAGTGACAGGCACACACTGACAGGCAGGCAGACACACAGTGACAGGCAGGCAGACACATACTGACAGGCAGGCAAACACATACTGACAAGCAGGCAGACACATACTGACAAGCAGGCAGACACACACTGACAGGCAGACAGACACACAGTGTCACCAGGCAGACATACACTTGACAGGCAGGCAGACACATAGTGACAGGCAGGCAGACACACAGTGACAGGCACACACTGACAGGCAGGCAGACACACAGTGACAGGCAGGCAGACACACAGTGACAGGCAGGCAGACACATAGTGACAGGCAGGCAGTCACATAGTGACAGGCAGGCAGTCACATAGTGACAGGCAGGCAGACACAGTGACAGGCAGGCAGACACACAGTGACACATATTCCTTCTTGCTTCGATTTTATAACAGTGTAGACCATTGTGAAAACATCAGTCTCTGGGACACACCCTCCAACCACCTCACTCCCAGCATGTTTCTGTACTTCCCGTCAATTTTCCCTGCAGTGAACGGACGCTTTTGCTTCCACTCCATATTTACGATAGGATTTGTTTGTCATTTCAGTTTGAATTGAATATGTACGGTTATCTATGGGTCCATAGCCGTTCCTTATCAATAAGTATATCAAATAACGGCTACTTACTTTCCTCACACGTTTCTTTCCCAGCCATTGTTATAACTCTCGGCACGTGAAAGCTCCGTTTTGGTTTCCGTGTTTTTATGCCTCCCTAGTTTTAATGCAAACGGCTGCATTTGGGGTTAATGTTTGTAATATTGTCCCTCTTTATTCTCTTTTACTGATATTATGGATGTTGTGATCATTTCGGAGATGGTGTAGGGGGTTGACGATGACCTTTGCCATTTTCGAAAGTGCGTGGCCTGCCATGGCAAGAAATGAGCTCATGATCCCCACGGCCTTTGCCATGACTCTCCCCTGCTTCCGCGATGCTCTGAATGTACCCACTTATCCCCCAACCACTTAGCTAGCTAAACTACGGAAAATGGCTCACCTACAGCACCAAACAATCAAAATCCTCTCATAAGCCTGCGACTGTCATGCCTACGGGCTCGTCATCGGGTGGATCCGTCCTTGGGGCTACCTCGATTGCTACATCGCCTCTTACATGGTCATGTTTGGATGTTTGGTTATCACCTGCTTATTCACAGCCATTCCAGGTGCCCTCCACCTGGCCTACCCCGTTATACTCACAGCATGCGCAAGTTCTTCCACCACCATTGCCTCCTCAGGCGCCACCTGTTCCCACTTCTTCTCAGGAACAGCCATCGCAGACTCTGCCTCGGGTCGGTTCACCATTGGTGACCACTCGTCAGGATATTCGTATTGACATGGATGTCAGGCCTGTGAAGATCTGGGGGTAGAATAGGTCTTCAGCAAGCCATGCTTGCCGTAAAAGGCGACTATGCTTGTCGTAAGAGGCGACTAATGGGATTGTGTGGTCAGGTTCGCTGACTTGGTTGATGCATGTCATCGTATCCCAATTGCACGGATCAACGCTCATGATGTCAATCACTGGATTGTCTGGTCCAGACTCGATTACTTACAAACTGCCGTCATATAACTGGAATATTGCTGAGTGCAGCGTAAAACAAACAAACAAACAAACATGGATGTCAGTACGGTACTACAGTAACCATTCTCGTCTCCTTGCTTGTGCTTGTGTCTCTCCTGCTCGGCATTTCAGATCCTATTCGTCGTCTCCCGACAGGGTTTCCAAGCATGTGTGTTCTTTGCCGAGGGCCTCCTCCTTATTGTTCGGCGACTAGTGTTGCTTCTTCTAAGGCTGAGAAGCAGCCACTCTACGGCTCTAAGGATTGGATCCTGTTGATCATGGATGTCCTTAAACTCGAAGAGCCTATCCCACTGCCTTCTGCGAAATGATCTCAAGAGTATTACGCCATCTTACATGGTCCCTGGTTACATGGTTCATCATTTTGTCGACGGTATTCCTGTGCTGTTGCAGCGGGTAGCCCTCAAGGGTTCACTTCCCAAACCCGCCATCACGTCGTCCCGCTTCAAATTGCATGGATTTCATTTCCAACTTCAGCTTCCCCCCTTGATGCAGATGATGCTAAAACTTTGGGCCATTTTACGTCTCCGTGCCTCAAGATAGATGATCCCTTATGTCTGTTGATTCTGACATTCGTTTGTCCCTCCTACCATTGTCACTTGTTACTATCTTCGTCCAGGCTTCATTTAGCGAATTGGCTTGCTGAAAACAGATTTTTTAAGAGAATTCCTCTCATTTCTGGATGTAATCTTTCATGTCTTGGAGGACTTAGCTCGCCACAGGCTCCCTCCTCCTTATGCGTTGCCATGCCTATATTGAGGAGATTGGTTGGTGCCCATTCCTATTGTTTGACTTATTACGTCAACAATAGTCATCCCGAGAAGCTCTTCAATAACAAGGTTCAGGAGGTTTCAGGAGGAAATCTCTCCACTGCTCAGGCCGAAGCCACTGTTCAGGCACTACAGATGAATATTCCCCGCCTGGGTATCCAGTACATCAGGTGGACGCCATATCAACCTGAGGCTAAACACCTCTGTCGTGCTCAACCTTACCCTAAACCTTTAGCACAGGCCGTGTCTTCCCAGTCATCTAAGGCCAGGTCGACAAGCGGTCACACTCAGCCCTCCTCCTTGGGCGCTAGGTATAGGGGCGTAGGATGAGACTAACCAGGTGGGCGACTGGGTTATCCCTGCCACCAGTCATCCCTCCTCACGACTCTCCTGTTTCATCAGCAGTCGGAGTTGAATCCCTCCCAGACCATTCACTTTAATGGGGGACTAATGAGACACGTCAAGGTCTCCTCCTAGTTCCGCAGACACATTGGAACTTGCTCTGGTCCAGGCAGGCCTGTCCATGGTACTCCGGATTCAAATTTGGCAACACCTGCATGGCTTGCTCACATCAGCACAAGATTTGACCCGCTGTGGACGCCTGCAGTTACGTCCTCTGCAGATTTTTCTTCAACTGTGGTTTCGATCAGGACACGCCAAGCTAGGTCTTATCTCTCCCAACCTCCATTTCCTGGACCCTTGAGTCTCTAACAGGGTCTTTTTGTCCGACTTCGTTCACACTCACATGTGTTCGTGGACACATCGAAAGAAGGGTGGGGGCCATCTCGGAGATCTCTGGGCCTCAGTGTTCTGGACCACCCCGTTTCTTCACTGGGACATCAACTGTCTTGAGTTTCAAGCTGTCATATTGGCCAGTCAGACATGGCGAATGATATTGTGTGGAACTTGCATGGCCTCATGATAGCAATGGACAACGTCTTGGTCCCTC